ATAGACAAACAATGAGATTGTCTGTGGTATTTCTACTATAGATTCCATGTTCATTTACACATTTCATGAAACCTTGCTGAACAAGAAAATTGTCTATTCTCTTGTTCCAAGCCCTTGGGGCCTGCTTCAACCCATACAGGGCTTTGTTCATCCTGTAAACATGTTCTTCCATTCCTTCTATCTCAAATCTTGGTGGCTGATTCACATATACTTCTTCTTCTAGTTCACCATTCAGAAAAGCTTATTTTACATCTAGCTGATACATAGACCAGTTATTCTGAATTGTTATTGCCACAATTAGTCTGATTGTTTCCATCCTTGCTACGGGAGCATAGACTTCATAATAATCTTGTCCATGCCTTTGTAGAAATCCTCTTCCTACTAATTTAGCCTTGTACTTTGCCACCTGCCCATCTATCCTTATTTTTGTCTTAAACACCCACTTTACATCAATACACTTCTTGTTAGCAGGTAACTTAACTAGTTTCCATGTCTTGTTCTTTTCTATAGAGCTCAGTTCTTCAATCATGGCTACCTTCCAATGTTTTTGTTTTAAGGCTTCTTCCAAGGACATTGGTTTAGTTTCAGCCAGCATTTTTAGTTGCACTATATCACCATCATCTATGACTGCTTGATCAGGGAATCTCTCATAGTCCCTTAACCTGGTTGGTGCTTGAGTATTCCTTGTTGGTCTGTTGATTACTTCTGTTCCTTCTTCATTTGTATCTTCATCAACTTCTTCTTGTTCCTCAATCTCACCTTCTTCTGTCTCTGAGTCAGATAAATGTAAGTGATTGTTACACTTGTATGAGACCTTTTCTTTCCAATCCCATTCCTTTGATTCATCAAATATTACATCTTTGCTAAATATTATCTTCTTATTATTTGGATTATATAATTTTTAGGCACCAGTTTGATGATAGCCAACCATAATCATTGCCTGCGATTTATCATCTAACTTCCTCCTTAGTTGATCAGGCACATGTCTGAAACATAATGAACCAAAAATCCTTAAATGTTGAACACTTGGTTTGACTCCACTCCATGCCTCCTCTGGTGTCTTGTCCTGCAACTTCTTTGTGGGGCTTCTGTTTATGAGATATGTTGTAGTAGCAGCTGCTTTACCCCACATGGAATGAGGCATTTTCTTTTGCTTCAACATACTCCTTATCATATTTACTAGGGTTCTGTTTTTCCTTTCTAATATCCCATTTTGTTGAGGTGTATAAGGTGTTGTGACTTCATGACTAATCCCATTTGATGAGCAAAACTCATGAAATTCAATAGAATTGTATTCACCCCCTCCATCAGTTTTTAGCCTACTAATTACTTCCCCACTTTCATTTTGAACCAGTAATCTGAACTTCTTAAACACATTTAACACTTCACTTTTCTTAGCCAACAAGTAAATCCACAGTTTCCTAGTGAATTCATCTATGAATGTCACAAAGTAGCTATTTCCACCTACTGACCTTACTTCAAAAGGTCCACATACATCTGAGTGAATTACCTCTAGTTTCCTGGTTGCTTTGATTGGTACTTCTGCTTTGTATGAGCTTCTAGCTTGCTTTCCAGTACAACATATTTCACATACTTCCTCTGGAAATTTTAGTTTTGGCCGGCCTAGCACCATCTTTCTTTCATGCAGCATATCCAAATTTCTAAAATTAATGTACCCATATCCTAGATGCCATAACCAGTCCTCATGCTTAGTCTTAGTCAATAGGCACTGATCTTCAATCACATTCATATTAATCCTGAATGTTCTTTTTTTTGACAATGGAGCTTTGATGACCAACCTGTTCTTGTGATCAAAGATATTCATAGATTTTGCCTCCAATCTCAAGTTATATCCCTTCTGTAATAACTGATTAATACTAATTAGATTGTTTTTCATGTTTGGCACATATAACACATCAGTAATACATGCCTTCTTGCCATCCTTCCTATTAATCAAGATTTTCCCAATCACAGTTTCACATACTATGCTATTGTCTGCAAATCTAATACTCCTGTTCACTGATTCATCTAGTTCATAGAACCAAGACTTCTTTCCTGTCATGTGATTGGAGCACCCTGTATCTAGATAACATTCATCACTTCTTTCTTCTCCATCCTTGACTGTTACCATCAGCAACACTTCATCTGAGTCTGAGCTTTCATTCTGAGAAAACTAAGCATCATCTTTACTTCTTGGTACCCTCTTTGATCTGCATTCAGATGCATAATGGCCCCATTTTTGGCAATTATAACACTAAATCTCCTTCTTGGACTTTCCTTTCTTCACATACTGAGCCTGCAATGCTTGATCCACAGATGCAATCTTTCTTCTTTCTTTGATCCTATCTGTTAACCTCAATTCATGTGCCTCTAGGCTTGCCTATAATGCTTCTATCTTCATGGAGTCTAGATCCTTTGACTCCTCCAATGCAACCACAATGTGATCAAATCTTGGTGCTAAAGTCCTGAGAACCTTTTCTACCTTCATTACATCAATGAAGTTTTCCCCATTTCTTGTCATCTGATTTGTGACAATGATCACTTTGTCCAGATATTGACTAATGGTTTCTTCTTCTTCCATTGTTAGCACCTCATAACGCCTTCTCAATGCCTGAAGTCTCACCTTCTTTGGCTTCCCATCACCAGCATACATTTTGTCCATTGCATCCCATGTTTCTTTTGCACTTTCATAGTGCATGATTTTCTCAAAGATTTCATTGCTCACACTTTGATGTATCAAAAACATGGCTTTCTCATCCTTCTTCTTCAGTTATTTATGCAAAGTTTGTTGTTCTTCTGTTGCATTGGCTGTTAAGATTGGTACTCCTTCATTCACCACTTCAAGAACCTCTTGAAACCTGAAAACTACCTTCATCTTCACAATCCATTGATCAAAATTTTTACCTTCAAACACTGGCAGGTGTGTAGAGATGTTGTTGCCATGATTTTCCATTCTTCAAGCTTCTTCTCGTAGCAATTATGGAACGGAGCTCTGATACCAATTTGATAGAACAATCATACAATTGTGTCACAATCAATGAGTGAAGATTAGTGGTGATAGTTGAGATTAGTGTTAGCACAAAGTGATGAAAACTGATGAATATTAAATGATCTATTGATTTACTGCATTGTCTAGAACATCTCACATCACATGGCATTGGTTTTATATTATCTCAACTAACTAACTAACTGTATTAACTAACTGTAACTAACTAACAGAATTACAAAAACTAATAAGGGAAACTCTAGATATGTCTGGTTTTCCTAAGCTTACTGATGATGAAATAGAGATACTGCATGAGCCTTTCTCAGCAAATGATATTCTTGATGCCATTAGTGGGTGCTATGGGAATGAAAGCCTGAGCCCTGGTGACTTCAACCTGGAGTTTCTGAAACATTGTTGGGGGGATGGTTGGTGCGGACGTGATAAGTTGCATATAAAAGTTTTATCATTCTTCCTCTCTACCCAAATCATTTCTTTCCTCATTTATTGCACTGATTCCCAAGAACATCAACCCTCAGGGTTTGGAAGAGTACTGTCCTATCAGTTTAGTGGGATGCATCTATAAGCTAATTTTGATGATTTTGGCATCAAGGTTAAGTAAGATGATAGGTAGGTTGGTTTTAAATTCTCAAACGGCGTTTATACTAGGGACACAGATTCTTGATGGTGTTTTGGTGACGCTAATTAATCTAGCTAAGAAGAGGAATAGAAGGTGCTTATTATTCAAGGTAGACTTTGCACAAGCTTATAATTATGTAGAGTGAGAATTTTTGAAAAAAGTGTTATTGGCTATGGATTTTATGGATTTTAGTTATAAGTGGTTGCCCTGACTTAAGGGTGGGGTTTTAAATAACTATTTGTCTGTATTGGTGAATGAGAGTACTACCAAAGATTTCAAGATTTCAAGGGGCCTAAGACAAGGTGACCCCTAGTCTCCTTTTTTGTTTTCTCTTGTGCCAGAAGGTCTGGCTTTATTGGTAAGGAGGGCTGTTAATGGAAGCATATTTAGTGGGTTTAGAATAAATTGTGATGATATTGTCAGCTTAACCCAATTTGTTGATCATACAATCTTAGTTTGTGACGATGATTGGACAAATTTATGGGGAATTAAGTATATACTGCGTGATATCGAATTGGTTTTGGGTTCGAGTATAAATTTCTGGACGAGTTGCCTTTATTGTGTGCGAGTGGAGGAAGCTTTCATGTCAGCTACAGCCCAGTTCTTAGCATGTAAAATTGGAAGTTTAGTCTAGAGAATAATGCACACCAAAAAGATGGTTGGCTATTGGATTGAGTAATAGAAGCAACTGTAATTAGTGCGAGTGGTTTAAACACTCTTCTAACTTTTTGTGGGGGGTTGTGTGTTTTGTTGGAATAAGTTTTAGCAGAAATAATTGTATGTAATTTGACTGTTGTTTTAGAATACTTTTTGTATGCCCATTGAATACAGTTTTGTTGCTTATAAAAAAAGACTTGTATAATCAATGTTAATTAGTCTAACTAAGTAATCTAATTAATATTTTACATCAAATATCCCTCGAAAAGTTGAAATGTATTTATTACACTTTAAACTTGGAAAATACAATTAAATAAACAAGGACTAAATAGTGAAAAAAATGAATGCTTCAGTTTTTAAAAACAAGATAGATGCGCAAGTTGTTATTCTCTTCTTTTGTACTTCTGTGTAATGAATACTATTCTCTATGTATTATAATTATTTAAATAATTTTTTTCGAGAAAAGACTTGAATTATTCAGAAAATTGAATAGGGCAATACTGCACATGTATTGGAAATTGGAATTGATATCTTTGACGGAAAACACAAAGATTAAGCAGGGTACACTTCAGAAAACAAAGCTATTTTAATTGATAAATTGTAAAATCTTAAAAAAATACTATAAAAACGATTATGTTATCTCAAATCTCAAAGTTAACATTCATAAGAGAAAATTGTGAATTGTGTGAAGCTTGTGCTTTGAACCAACACAATAAAAAGATGGAAGCAAAGAAAGTTCCAGATGTGGTTCTAAATTCAGGAAAAAAGATGCCAGCGATAGGATATGGAACAGCAACTCCTCCTCCTCCAATAGCTTTGATTGATGCTATTGACATTGGCTACAGACATTTTGATACTGCTTCTTTGTATAATACTGAAGAACTTCTAGGCCAAGCTGTGTCAAAAGCTTTAGAGGAAGGCCTCATTAAAAGTCGCGACAAATTGTTCATTACTTCAAAATTATGGTGTACTGATGCTCACCATGACCTTGTTCTCCCAGCTCTCAAAACCACCCTCAAGCAAGCATAATTCTCTTAACCTTTTTTTTCCTATTTTAAGATTTTTTTTTATTAGTTGACTAACTTTATTTTTGGATTTTTGGTTGAAATTGTTTAGAAAGCTGGGCTTGGAGTATGTGGATCTCTATTTAATACATTGGCCAGTGAGGTTGAAACAAGATGTTAAAGGCTTAAACTTTAAAGGTGAGGATTTGATTCCCTTTGACATAAAAGGAACATGGGAAGCTATGGAAGAGTGTCATAGACTGGGCTTAGCAAAGTCTATTGGTGTTAGCAACTTTGGTATCAAAAAGCTCTCCATACTCTTAGAAAATGCTAAAATCTCTCCTGCAGTTAATCAGGTATAAGAATTTAGCACTATTTGATTTCATTCATTCTCGCATAAACATGAAATACACTTAATTGGTTGCTGTAGTTAATTCAAAGTGATATACATTCTTACTTGTATTTAGGTGGAAATGAACCCATCATGGAATCAAGGGGAACTCATAGAATTTTGCAAGATGAAAGGAATTCATGTTAGTGCATGGTCACCACTAGGAGCATACAAAGATCCTTGGGGATCGGCTGCAGTTATGGACAATCCAATTCTGCATGAAATTGCTGAGGCTAAAAAGAAGAGTGTAGCTCAGGTGCAACTCATTATTTTATTTCAAACTATTTTCAATGGCAACTGTGAAATATATATCTTTTGTCAATTAGGGTTTCAATAGGGTTTTTAAGACATATATCCCTATGTGATACATATTATGCAGATAGTACTGAGATGGATATACCAGCAAGGGGCAACTCCCATTGTGAAAAGCTTCAATAAAGAGAGGATGAAACAAAACATTGAAATATTTGATTGGGAATTGAACCAGGAAGAGTTGGACAGAATCAATCAGATTCCTCAAAGAAGAACCCTAAATGCAGAAATCTTCATATCAGAAAATGGACCTTACAAATCCATGGAGGAGTTGTTGGATGACTGAGAAAAAACTTTGTTTAGTTTATTTCTAGGTTCATGTATTTAAGCAATAACTATTTCTTGTATTCAAATGACACTCATTTTCTTTTTATTTGCTGTTTCACTTCTAAATGTGTGGAACAATCAAAGTAATAGAGTTCTATTATGACCCAAGAGTTCATTGATTGTTAGGCAGCCTAACAAACTCAATGATTATATGTCATGCAGTAACGAAGTCTTCTAAAAATCTGTTAGTAATATCTAGTGGTTTGATAGTTACATCGCCACATAGATTTTCTATATATTCGCTATATCTCCCTCATTTAGAGATATGAATGAAGTAATATTTTATTTCCCTATTTTTTTCTTTTCTTTAAGAGGTCCTTAGTCCTCTAATTCTAAGAATCTGTTTTCTTAACACTAGTGCTCTCATTGAGAGAGACTCCCTTCCCCTTGTCAAATGGCCGGAACACGTGGTACCACATCCGCGATTGATCGCATTGATGAGTTTGTTAAACAAATGTCAGTTGTGATTATTCGTCTAGAAGAAATAGGCCATCGGTTGGAAGAAAAAATTCAGAGTTTGTTCAGTCGTTTGTTTCAGCACCGACGCCAAACAAAAATCATTGACCACGACTCAAGCTAGATGTGGTACGTAAAGAGAATGATATTTCAATATATTATGGTAGTCATAAATACTAACTATTTATAGATACAAATGATACATGTTTTGTATAACTAATTCCTAGTCTTAAGGGAGCGTTTCTACTAATTCTTTATTAGGAATAATTCATATTTAGTTATATTGTTTTTCTTAGCCCATAAGTTTGTTAGAGGGCATTTTAGTATTTTATCTATATTTTGAGTAACCCTAGTTTTACTTATAAATAGGATTGCTATCATTGTAATGAAACAAGTGTGTGTAGCCGTTATTCTTCTAATAGAATATTCTCCGTTCATCATTTATTCTACCTTTGCACCAACAATTGGTATCTAGAGCTCCGGTTCGGATTCATTGGGAAACACGGGAAACACGAGTGGACGTGAGGTCTTGTGTGTTTGATTTTGTTTCTTAGATTCTTGTTGAATCTTGAACAAAATCTGATCAGAATTTTTAATTCTGTGGGTTGAGAAACACTGTGTGAGAAAAATCTGAGTGTATTGTGCAAAGTAGAAGATGAACGGAAACGGCAACATGAACACCAAACTTCCAGTATTTGACGGTAAAAATTGGAATCGTTGGATGATCCAAATGCGGTACTGTTTGGTGCTCAAGATGTTCTAGATCTTGTCACTGATGGTTATGTTCCGGTAGCAGCAGATGCGACGGATGAACAAAAAAACGCGCAGAAGGAAGTAAGGAAGAAGGATCAGAAAGCATTGTTCTTCATTCATCAATGTGTGGATGTAAACGTGTTTGAGAAGATTGCAGACTCAACAACAGCAAAGGCTGCGTGGGACACACTGGTGAGATGTTATGGTGGTGACGCATCAGTGAAGAAGGTGAAGCTTCAGTTCTTGAGAAAGCAATATGAGAATCTCAACATGAAGAATAATGAGAAAGTTTCTGAATACATCTCCAGAGTGATTCTGATCACTAATGAGATGAAGGCGTGTGGAGAAACTCTTTCTGAAGAAGCAATCATGGAGAAGGTATTGAGATCCCTTACCCCTCAATTTGATTACATTGTGGTAGCAATAGAATATTCCGAAGATCTGAGCACCATGAGAATTGAAGAGCTGCAGAGTAGTCTAGAAGCGCAAGAGTTGCGTTTGACTGAGAGAAACTCTGAAAAGGAAGTAGAGCAGCAGGCTCTGAAAGCAACCTCTGATAGGAGGTATCAGAAGCAGTCAGAAGCCAGGAGAAGATCTGATGGTGGTCAGAAGTCAGAAAGCTCAACCTCTGATAGACAAAAGAATGCTCAGAAGGGAAAAGAGAAGTATGACAAAAAGAAAATCCAATGTTACTGTTGTAAGAAGTTTGGTCATTTTGCTAGAGATTGTTGGTCAAACAAGGAGAAAAAATCAGAAGAAGCAAATATAGCCAGAAGCTCTGATGACGAATCTGTGCTATTGATGGCCTCTGAATCTGATAATATGGATCTGACAGACTGGTGGTATATGGACACTGGCTGTTCAAATCATCTTACTGGAAACAAGAAATGGCTGGTTGACTTTGACTCTGAAAAGAGAACAAAGATCAGATGTGCTGATGACAAATATCTTAATGCAGAAGGTATGGGAAATGTCAAAGTGACTCTGAACAATGGGAAAATAGCATTGATTCAGAATGTGTGGTATGTACCTGGCATCAGAAGCAATCTGATGAGTGTGGGACAATTAATTGAGAAAGGTTTCTCAGTTACCATGAAGGACAATCTTCTGAAGCTGTATGACTGCAATCAGAAGCTGATTATGGAGTCAGAACAGGGAAGGAATAGAACATTCAAGGTGAATGTCAGAACTGCAGACTCAGAATGTCTTAGTGCAACAAGTGCTGAGAAGGAGAGTGAGCTGTGGCACAGAAGATTTGGTCATCTGAATTTCAGAAGCTTAAAACATCTGAATTCAAAGAAATTGGTACATGGAATTCCTGCAATTAAGAAGCCTGAAAAGTCATGCAAAGTTTGCATGGAAGGAAAACAACCAAGATTGCCATTTGCGTCAGAAGTTGCTCCAAGAGCAAAACATGCCTTGGGAGTTGTACATTTTGATGTGTGTGGTCCATTTCCAGTAGCATCAATTGGAGGGAATAAATACTTTGTGTTGTTTTTTGATGAATTCACAAGAATGACATGGGTATCCATTATTAAGTTTAAACACGAGGTGTTTGATGAATTCAAGAAGTTCAGAATGAAGGCTGAGAATCAGAGTGGTCAGAAGTTGAAGATTTTTAGAACTGATGGTGGAGGTGAGTATAACTCCAAAGAGTTCCAGAAGTTCTATAAGGAGAATGGAATTGAGCATGAGGTTACTGCTCCTTATACCCCTCAACACAATGGTCTTGCTGAAAGAAGAAACCGCACTCTGCTTGATATGTTGAGAAGCATGCTAAAGGAGAAGAAGCTTCCTCAGAAGCTCTGGGGAGAAGCTGTTGCCACTGCAACGTATGTACTCAACAGATGTCCTACGAAGAAGTTGAAGGAAATAGTTCCAATGCAGAAGTGGGCTGGAGATAAGCAAAGTGTTAGTCATCTAAAGGTGTTTGGTTCTGTTTGCTATAAACATGTTCCAGAAGCCAGAAGACAGAAGCTGGATGATAGAAGCAAAGTGATGATTCTGATAGGGTACCACAGTACTGGTGCTTACAAGCTTTATTGTCCAGAAACCAATAAAATTGAATTCAGCAGAGATGTGATTGTGAAGGAATCAGAAGTTTGGAATTGGGATAAGTCTCAATCTGATTCTGATGTTAGAACCTCTGAAGAAAGGACAGAGTTAAGAATTTCTGAAGTTGGAGTAAACCCTGACATTGACTCTGACTCTGATACTGATTCAAACTCTGAAGAAGACTCAGAAGATGAAGGTGACTCTGATGACCCAGACTCTGATGATTCAGACTCTGATGGCAATCCAGATCTTGGTGGTAATTCAGACTCTGGAAATATGCCAGACTCTGAAGATGGTCAAAGCTCTGGAGGTCAATCATCTGAAGCTCAAGACTCTGAACAAGTTCAGAGACCACAAAGAATAAGAAACGTTCCAAGAAGATATGCAGAATTTGACATGCTGCAAGACACTGAAGTAGACTCTGAAGGAGAAATTATTCAGTGTGCCATGATGGTAGATTCTGAACCCATAAGTACAGAAGAGGCTCTTAAGCAGAATCTTTGGCTAAAGGCCATGAAAGAAGAACTTGATGCTATAGAGAGAAACAAGACTTGGAAGCTGACAGAACTTCCAAAAGACAAGAAAGCCATCAGCGTCAGATGGGTTTTCAAGCAGAAGTTAAAGCCAGATGGTTCAATTGGCAAACATAAAGCAAGGTTGGTAGCCAGAGGATTTCTACAGAAACCTGGGCTGGATTATTCTGAAGTGTTTGCACCTGTAGCAAGACATGAAACAATCAGAATGGTGATTGCAATAGCTGCTAATAGGAATTGGCCTCTGATGCATTTAGATGTAAAATCTGCATTTCTGAATGGTCCATTAGAAGAAGAAGTTTATGTGTCACAACCCCCTGGATTTGTGAAAAAGAATCAGGAAGGGATGGTGTACAAATTATACAAAGCTCTATATGGACTGAAACAAGCACCCAGAGCTTGGAATCAGAAGATTGATTCATTTTTCAAGAAGCAAGGCTTTCAGAAATGTGAGATGGAGTACGGTGTCTATGTTCAGCATACTTCTGAATGCAATATGACTCTGGTATGTTTATATGTTGATGATATACTATTGACTGGAAGTTCTGAATAGGAGATAGCCAAGTTCAAGAAAGTTCTGATGAATGAATTTGAAATGACTGATCTAGGCAAAATGACATACTTTCTAGGGATGGAGTTCAGATATTCTGAGAAAGGTATCATTTTGCATCAGCTCAAGTATGAATTAGAACTTCTGAAGAGGTTTGAACTGAAGAATTGTAAGACTGATGTCACACCTTCAGATACAAATCAGAAACTGGATTCTAACTCTGATGGAGAAGATGTGGATGCTACAACCTTCAAACAGTTGGTTGGTTCTCTGAGGTATCTGTGCAATACTAGACCTGATATTTGCTATTTTGTTGGGATGGTTAGTAGGTTCATGAGTAAACCTAAGTGGTCCCATTATCAAGCTGCTGTCAGGATTCTGAGGTATATCAAGGGAACTCTGAAGTATGGAGTGTTATTTCCCTCTGGAAGAAAGAATGAGTCAGAACTTATGAGTTATTCAGACTCTGATTGGTGTGGAGACAGAGTTGACAAAAGAAGTACCTCTGGGTACTTGTTCAAATTTCTGGGAGGTCCTATTTCTTGGTGTTCCAATAAGCAACTTGTTGTGGCGTTATCAACCTGTGAAGCTGAATACATTGCAGGTGCTGTT